CTCTCTCTCTCTCTCTCTCTCTCTCTCTCTCTCTCTCTCTCTCTCTCAGACACACAACACCTTTACAGCTCTCAGGTCAGACTTAATTGTACATACCTATGTACCTCCCTTTTGTTTTGAATGGACTTCTGCTCTCAACTCATCCAGTTTAACTCATTATTAACTGCACTGTAACTGTAACAAAGGAAAATGGTCATGTCAGAGCCACTTTCCCTGCCTTCTTGGCTGCAAAGTCAGCAATAAGATCTTTATAATCCAGTCTGTCTGTCTCTCACTCTCTCTCTCACTCTTTTTTTCTCTCTCATACACTTTTATTTGACTAGTACATCTATAACTTTGTTTACACTTATCCTAACCTACAGAGGCACTTTTCAACCATTTCACGCCAATAAACTTGCTGCTTACTTGTTCTAATTTTACTCCTCGGCTAATACTTAGTCTACATGCTTCAACAAATTGTTCCTCTGCTGTCAGTTTACAATGTATTTGAGTAGGCTCTAACTTTAAAAAAACAAAACAGATTCAGGTATTTTTCAAACTTTTCATGTCATTCAGTCCCCTGCTTACAAGTTCTACTTTTACTCTTATTGCTTAATCTTTATCAATATACATATGTTCAACAATGTTTTCAAGCTGTCAGTTTTAAGATTTCAACTTTTCGATTTCTTCATAGTACTCTTCAACAATTTAAGTAATTTCCAGCCATTTCTTTTTAATCTATTCTCACTTGTTTCTTCAGCCATGTTAGGCATGTCACTTTCTTCTTCAAGATTTCAACTTTTCAAACTCTTCAAATATTACACTTAAATTTATATTTGTTACTCCGCCTCTTTAACGTTTCTACTGCTTTAAGCCCTTTTAAAGTCATTTAGAGTTCTCAGCTTTAGTGTTAGCCTTTTTCAACATTGCTTCAGCAGATTCTTCAGCTAATTCAGCATTGTTTCAACAATTTCTTCAGCTCATTCAGCATTGCTTCAGCAATAGCGTTCAGCTGCTTTCAGCATCCACACGCATTTTCTGCAGGAAATGCTTTCTTTTTCTAGTTCATCTCTAGTCCCGGGCCAGTTACTGTACAGTTTCATCATGAATCATATTGAACAACATGTACAACAATATCGATGACTAACAATATTCGGTGATAGGCCATTGTAGGCTCATATTTGATTGTGCTTCCCTAAACTTATGTGTATGCATACCTGTAGTACTTGGACCATACTGACACATTTTAGGGTCTTACACCAAATTCTTTACAATAATTAATAATGCATAATTGATGATTGATGCTAATGTTGTCCCATTATATTTACTAAAACATTGCTATGCATGAGTAACCTTTAAGTTTTTTATTTGCTAAAATATCTTTTACCTGAATGTAGGCCACCCAAAAAAGCCCAGGCTCTTTCATCAAGTGAGGAGGAAGCTGACTCATGTGATGAGGACGAATTGCCACCTTCTCCTCCCCTTGAATTTGGCAGTCATTCAGCAGTAGGATATAAACCTAGCATCGCCTCAAGAGTGAGTGGCTCCAGTGCGGCCCTGAGTGTTCGAAGCCCCAGCATGACCCCGAGTGTTCGAAGCCCCAGCATGACCCCGAGTGTTCGGAGGCCCAGCACGCCCCCGAGTGTTCGAAGCCCCAGCGCGACCCTGAGTGTTCGGAGCCCCAGCGTGACACCGAGTGTTGGAAGCCCCAGTGCAACCCCAAGCACTAGTTCTTCCTCAAGTGTGAGCAGCCACAGTGACATTGAAGGAGCCATGTTTGTAAAATTGGTAACTCTCCTCGAAGAAGTGAAGGACACTCAGAAAGTACATAGCAAAATGTTAAATACACTGATGAAGCAGAAAGCGGCCGTGCCAGTGTTGGAACCACCTGAAGGAGCAGTATTTTCACTGACCACTAACCAAGATGTGCAAGCCATGAACGAGAAGCTGTGCGACTCAGAGTTCATGTCTGGAGTTGTAAGTTCAAACAAACAAATCCACGTTTGTATTTGGCACTGAAATGTATTCTGCTGTCTTATCTTAACTGATTTCTTTTCTTTCTTTCCTGTGCTTTTCATCCCATACACTCAGATTGCTATGGTTGGAGAAATAGGAGGTAGTTCATTGGATGATGCCACCAGAAGAATGATGGCATTCCTCATGTCCCATGAATTGGCACTGCAGTACAGCCTTTTTGGACGTCATGGCAAGAACAATTTTCGAGAGCTGCGTCTTTTTGATGTTGTATATGGTAAATTGTTACCTAATGTAACTTCCTTTATCTTTCTAGCTTAAAATATTGAAATTTGGCAAAATATCTGATCTACTGAAGTAGATGCACGCTGAAGCTTACAGCTGGCCTAGCTGATGAAAAGAGGGCACAACAAATCTGAGCAGAGGCCACTGTTTGCAGTTCATGTGATTTTCCGAATTGCCAACATGCACCATTCATGTTTCTTCTGATGGTGGCTCATGAACTTTGTTATTCTGTGCTACAACTTAGTGATTGTTTTTTTTTTTTTTTAGCTTTGTGTTGTTAGGCAATTTATGATAGTCGTTCCTATACTTTGTAAAAGTGGTGGTGGTCTGCTTGTAAGAACTGGTTCGTATCCTCGATTCATGGGATGTTGGGGGAGGCGAAGAGTGTAACCATAACCTTTCTTGGAATTTACAGATATCCTTTAATGCCTCACAGGCTGATTTTCATGAGATGCTACAATATACTAATGTTCTTTAAATGTATCACACAAGTATTAATTGCTCTATTCTTCAAATACTCTCTTGATCAAAGTGTTTAATGATGACATTTTTACAGACCTTGGGCATTCTAACTATCAGGTTCATTAGATCTCTGTAGATCAGTTGAAATTTTACCCAGTTTCATGAAATACTTGTCATACTGTGTGATTGGGTAGTAGGCCACTTCTCATACACCTTTTAATAACTTTTCCCACAAATGCTCAATAGGATTTAGATCAGACAAGTGTGCTGGCCAACCCATCAGACTGTACTCGTCCGATAAAAACTTTGCAGTGGTTCCAAACTTTTGAATGGCTGTCTGTTTGTCTTGTGATTTATTTTTAGGGGCACTAAAGAGGAACACATTAACTCAAGGAATTACCCAGAAGGAAGCAGAGAAGGCCCTCTCCAAGTGGTTCACTGGAGCCGTGACAGAGGCGGAAACAGGACGGTAAGAGCTCAGAGAGAGCTTAAAAAAAAATTGGATGGTGGGATAGGCCAAGAAGAGGAACAGTCCCAGTAGGTGTTACCTGGTATTGCCATAGTGGTAGGAGCACATACACACACCTTCAGTTAAGTCTCTTTTACACCAAAATAATAGCCCATTTGCAGCTCTCAGACGTGTTGCCTATTTTATTGTTTGGTATGTCATGTCCGTTGCCCTGAATGTGTTTGAAAACAAAATAAGGTTAATAAACAACAGAAAGCAGCAGGGAACACAGTGATCTTGTTAAAGTTTATTCAGTTTTGTTCCGCAGAAATTGAGATGCTGGCATATCAGCTAACTTTAAGAAATGTGTAGTGAGTTGTTGACTTGTGGGAAATTTCATTACCTCCTGTCCCCTCTTGTAAATTTGGAAAATGTAACTGTAATACAAATTTGAAAAACAAGTATGTCCTTTTGAAAAATGTCCTTGTAAAATGTCAGTTTTACCAGTCATCAGCTACACAAAAGAGAACTCATTTCATTCATTTCCACCTGTGTTCCTTTTATATGTTCACTCAGTAGTGCTGAATAACACATCTTTTGTACTTTAAAGCTATGATCACAAAGTATACACTCCTGTAAAAATTAGCATGTCCACCCAGGTGTTATGTTTACTGTATGTAACTGTTGATTGGATCTGGAGCCAATATCGATGACAACTGCAGAGTCATTTGACTGGGGACGTAACACTGATATGCATTTAAAAGTATGTTTTCATTGTTTTTGTCCTGCTGCAACAGCCAGGGCCAGAGGCATTTATGTTTTTTGTTGGACTTGAACTCATTAGATTGGGGAGGTCAAAGGTTAAGCTTACTGTCACCTCATGTTTCTGTGGCCCATTCTTGCGAATGCAGTATTTGCAAATGCAAATTTTATGTTTTAAAACAAGTTTTATTAAACATGTTGATTGAAAAACAACTTTATATTGGGGTGTTTATTGCTAAATTGTAGCACTTTTTGTATTTACTTAAATATGAATATCTGACCTGAAATATGGGTTATTAGCCTCACTTTATAACCCCTACTTTTATACTTTATATAGCACCAAATCACAACATAAGTCATTTACGTCACCTTTCCTATAGAACAGGTCTAGACCTTGTCCTTTTATTAAACAAACTAAATAGCCTTATGTTATTTATCTTATTTATGTGACAGCATTTCATTTCTGTCTCTACATAGTCTTGTGTTTGTTCCCCCCCAAAGCAGTAAACTAGGGGAAACACTCCTTTATAATCAAAGCCCATGTGAGCCGAGGTGGGGCCACTTTGGAACCTGTGTACAAATCCACTTAAATTTAGCCTGACCTAAGGCCCAGTAAAATCCCTCAAGCCCATATGGGAACACACAGGTGGAGCCTACATGGGTCTGATAGAACTGACCCACTTAGGCCCCACCTAAAACCCAGCCAGAGCTCACTTCAAGACCAAATGGGGGCACACAGGTGGGGCTTACATGGGTCTCATAAAAGTCTCCTGCTTGGGTCCCACTTGAAGCCCAGTCAGATCCCTCTTAAAGTCACACAGGTGGGGCCTAAATGGGTCTCAGGTACATTGCCCAGTTGGGCCCTATTTAAGGTCTATTCTGATCCCACTTTGAGCCCATATGGGTAAACATATGGGGCCTAGATGGGTCCTGTGCAACTCACCATGTTGGGCCCCACCTGAAACCCAGTCAGAACCCACTTGAAGCCCATATGGGCAAACACGGGTGGGGCCACTATGGAAACTGCGGACAAACCCAATTGAAACCCATAATGTAGCCCATTTGGGTCCCACTTAAAGCCCAGTCAGATCCCTCTTACGGGCACACAGGAGGGACCTAAATGGGTCTCAGATAAATTGCCCAGTTGGGCCCTATTTAAGGTCCATTCTGATCCCCCTTTGTGCCCATATGGGCAAACATATGGGGCCTACATGGGTCCCATGCAACTCACCAAGTTGGGTCCCACCTGAAACCCAGTCAGAACCCACTTGAAGCCCATATGGGCAAATACAGGTGGGGCCACTATGGAAACTGCGGACAAACCCACTTGGCACCCATATTTGCAGCCCAAACTTAACCCTTATGGGCCCCACATGGACATGCTGGCTGGGTATAAATCATTGAATGTATTGTTTTTAATGATCTCAAAATGTTCTTCCTTGTACAGCTTTGCTGCTCAGCAGTCAGCCATTGTGTATGTAGTGACATTTACAGATCTCAGCTCTGTTTTTTTAATCTCGAGAGCCTTGAGAAAGATGCTGCGCCACCGGGTCTTCATCATGCCAATTGCCCTCTCCACCACACATCTGGCCTTGGCGTGATGCCGGTTGTACCTGTCCTGCACAGGGTTTTGCACCGGCTCCCCGTATAGTGTCATGAGGCTGATTGGAGTGGTCAGGCAGGGATATCCCCCATCCCCAGTTAGGATCCAGCCAGGAGGTGGGTACAGCTGCTGAAAATAAAGGGAGCTCCACCGCAGGACCCGTGCGTCATGGACTGCACCAGGTAGGCCTGTAAATAATCATTGTTACAAAAAAGAAAATCACTACTTGCAAAAATGGCTCTAAAATGTTTCATTTTAGTTGGCACATTGAACAATTGATTATGTTAAATGCCTGACACATAAACACTTTTGAGATACATTGCTTGTCATGTTAGAAACATACTTATGATGATTGAATATCTTTGAAAATAACACCACAGTTAACAATAAAAAGTAACCACAAATCCCAAATAAATGTAATATGCGATCACAGTTTCACTTGGATGAAAAAATACTATTCAAATCTAAATCTAAATACTAATATACCAATACTATCTGAATCTAATCAATATTTTATCAACCTGTTGATACAATACTGATTTCCATCCATACCTGTGAATGTGTTCAGGAAGCGACCTTTGTGATCACAGACCACCTGCAGCTGGATTGAGTGGAAAAGCTTCCTGTTATAAAAAAAAATGTAGTCACTAATTGACATTGGTATGAGATTAAAGCAGGCCATTATATGTTTGTGTGATGTGGGTAATTCATATGCAGGGTACCTATTTAGGTAGTCCTCCTTATTTGCTGCAGGTGGCTTGATCCTGATATGAGTGCCATCGATGCTACCAGCCATGCGATTGAAGGCACAGGAGCCAGCCAGGTGGGCGAAGCCTTCCCCTATCCCCTCCAGCTCATCTGCAGCAGGAAAGTGGACCACCCTCCTGTAGATGGCCATTATGCTTTCTCTGACCCGATGCACAACATCACACACTGTGTCGGTGGGGACATCAAAGGCCTCCGACACCACCTGATAAGAGGTGGCACGGGCCAGCCAGTATAAGTAAATGGCTACCTCCAGATCTTTCCCCCAGCCGTGCTCCTTGCCATAGCCAAGGGACTCAATCAAGGCATTAACACTCTGCCTTGACAGACGGAAGTCCATTTTAAGGTCTCCCTCTCACAGGTAGAGGCGCACTACAAGGGTTTCAGTATTCAGGTGTAAATAATGCCCTCGAAGTGCACCCTCTAGGAGTAGGGACAAGATGTTTTACTTTGTAGCCTGTTTTTTTTTACTTTACTACTTTACTTTTAAAGTTCATTTTTTTTATTAAGTTAACTTTTTCCAAAGAAATAACCTGTTTTCTAACAAACGTGTTTGTCACAGAATATTATTTATTGACTTATCTGACAGTATATACCTGTTAGCTTAAGAGCCTACTGCTTTACATAGCCATAGTCAACTTAACGCTTTAAGAAAGTTTGATATGTACTTACATAGGACTCATACGCGCAAAGAATGGCCAACATATTTCGCCTGTTGGCATCCCTCCTCCTTCGCCTCCTTTGTGCCACATTATTGGCATTAACTACCGACAGATAAGACATGTCTTCTTTTTTTTACTGCTATTGTCTATCTATTCCTCCCTCAGCTTTTCCCGCCTCTGCTCGCCTATTATAGTGTACTGTGCGCATGATGTTATTATTTTATTAAGTGTCATCCCGCACTGTACTGTGCGCATATTATTTTATTAAGCGTCATGCCAAATCTTTGAGACTTAACGTACGTAGAGATGTACTAAATCATGTTGTCTGTAATGTAGCTATAATAAAAACCCAAACTTGTGTAGCTTAATACGATAAAAGGAAATTCAATATAGACTGACCTGTTCATTATAATACATTTATATTTATTGAAATTGTGATGTCTGTACATAAGAGCCCCAGAGGCAGTGCTGCTGTTCTGTCCAGTAAAAACATGAAGCTTCACTTTATATTCAGACAAACTAATGTGGCAGCTACAATTGTGATTTCATCTATGAAACCAACATTTATCTTCCAAAAGGATTTATATCAGCCAGCGGTAAATCTCAAAAGAGCAGCAGGTCAGTTCATCGGATTGCTTTCTCCCCGGGATGAAGACGGAGGTTGACCGGCGATCGTCTCGGTATTCCGGCTGCGAGCTGCTTGCTGCTCCCGGCCAGCTGCTCCCATAGCGGCTCTTCTCATCCCCGAAGACGTCGGAGCAAATTTCCAAACAGGCGTTATTTGGATAAACTGACCACATGTTGGGGATCTAAACGGTTACTTTTACGCCTGAAAAAATATTAAAACTTAACTAGAGTAGCAATTTATGAAGAAATTGCAGGTGTGAATGCTGCGAGCTGAAGCCACGCTGCAATGCTGCCTTGAATACAATGAAGTTTGAATGATTTGAATGTTTGAAAGTTTGTTGAAAAGCTGACTCCACACTGAATAGCTGCCTTTAATAAAATAAAGTTTGAATGATTAGAATATTTGAATGTTTTACTGAGATTTATGAAATCCAATATGGCCGCCGCCTAGTAGCACCACAATATGCAAATTAGATGAGTTAATTTACTCCCATCAGATTCCTCTTCCTTTATTTTGAGGATGAGACGATAAAAACAGCACAAAACAAAAGAAATCTGCTGTGCAAATAAAATGCTGTTTTACTGAGATTTATGAAATCCAATATGGCCACCGCCTAGTGACGCCACAATATGCAAATTAGATGAGTTAATTTACTCCCATCACAAACTTTGGGTCATGATGAATAGTTTTCTCATTTACAGTATGCCTTTATCTCTCACCACTTTCAAGCGAAAGCCTTTTGAAATGTTGAAATGAATATTTTCCTCAAATAACTCTGGCAACTAAAGGGTTAAAATGGAGATTCTGCCCCTGTCATGTCTGCATGTAAGATGTAGACACACACACACACACATCATGTTTCTGTGAGTTTGTGTGGCACAGCGGTTGCCATGGTAATAAACTAGGTGCACCTGGCAGAAGAGCAGAGAGAGACAGACAGAACACAGAGAAGAGAGCTCTTTTAGAGGAGATTTAACTCCTCAAACAANCTGAATAGCTGCCTTTAATAAAATAAAGTTTGAATGATTAGAATATTTGAATGTTTTACTGAGATTTATGAAATCCAATATGGCCGCCGCCTAGTAGCACCACAATATGCAAATTAGATGAGTTAATTTACTCCCATCAGATTCCTCTTCCTTTATTTTGAGGATGAGACGATAAAAACAGCACAAAACAAAAGAAATCTGCTGTGCAAATAAAATGCTGTTTTACTGAGATTTATGAAATCCAATATGGCCACCGCCTAGTGACGCCACAATATGCAAATTAGATGAGTTAATTTACTCCCATCACAAACTTTGGGTCATGATGAATAGTTTTATCATTTACAGTATGCCTTTATCTCTCACCACTTTCAAGCGAAAGCCTTTTGAAATGTTGAAATGAATATTTTCCTCAAATAACTCTGGCAACTAAAGGGTTAAAATAGAGATTCTGCCCCTGTCATGTCTGCATGTAAGATGTAGACACACACACACATCATGTTTCTGTGAGTTTGTGTGGCACAGCAGTTGCCATGGTAATAAACTAGGTGCACCTGGCAGAAGAGCAG